TCGGATTGTGAGAAGTGATGGAGTGGATACTTTCGTAAATCGAAGTTGGTGTAAGAACTCTCGTTTGTTTTTTTCCTACTCACCAGGTAAAACTAATTGTACTATTGTTTGCTGCAAGCCCCGCTTTCTCAGCAGATTTTACTTCATTTATTTTGTGAATATTTATATTGCCCCTGATGCACTCGCCCCCGACTGAGGACGATTTTCTTATACTGTAGTAACACAATTCGCCAGTTGTATTGACCAGTCCTTGTGTATTACCCCTGTTGAGTTTTATCGCTTTGATATCTCCTTTCTAACCACTCTAGGCTTGGAGAACCTTGTCGGTTTTCCGACCCGTACCAATACCGTTGTTGATGGCATTTATGAAAATGGTTCCAATATTTTTCAAGTTTTTAAACGAGCCCCAATTCTTACCACTGTACTATTCTTCTTTACCCTAAAATCTATTATAAAACTAACCACTACCTTCCTACACGACCCACCTCTCGTACGCTACGGAAAAAAATTGTTCTCCTGAGAACTTGTCCCGACTGCGGGACTTGGTTTCCTTTACTGACTTTTCTGTGTTCTTCCATGATCAGCTGTCTTCTTCTTGCGAACATCTTACCGATTATCTTCATTTCTGCTATGACCAATGCTGCCCTGTTGAAACTATTCATATTCGAACCGATAGGTTTTCCTCACCCTTTCTTAAGCGACTTCNCGACTTCGTCGTGCTAAAGATGCGGTACATATGGCCGGCAGGCGTAACAGTGTCAAACAGCTCTCTGTTTTGATTAGACTGCAAGCAAGACGCCTGAACAGAATGTAAGTCGAGACTGTTTCGGACAATAAAAGCTTTTGTGAGATGTGGACTACCTTGCGGAAACTCTGTGGATCACGCATCAGTTCTTGTCCTGACGTTGAGGTACTTACCGTCAATTTGCTTCTCTACCTGCATCTAGCTCCCTCCCACTTCCTTTTCCTACTCGTAAGGCAATAAACCCTGTTTCTCCGGGAGAAGTTCTCCAAGTTTTGAGGAGACTCAAGTCTACTAAAGCTCACTGTCCCGATGGATTAGCACCTCATTTTTTGAAAGCCTGCGCCGGCCAGCTTGTGACACCCATTGCCGAATTTTTCAGTACTATTTTGTCATCTGAAACAATACCCGATTGCTGGAGGTCAGCCCGGATCAGACCCATCCCAAAGAAAGGATCGTCGAAGTACCGTCCTATTGCCTGTACATCTGCGTTGCTGAAGGCTTTTGAAAATGTTTTGCTCCACCGCATGATACTCCACTGTAACTCCCATGACCCTTTACAATTTGCTTACAAACCCCATTTATCCACACTTGACGTCGTTGCTCACATTGTTCATTCTGTTGTTTCCATCTTAGACAACGACGCTGGTACCACTCGTCTAACTTTTACTGATTAAACGAACGCTTTTGGTTCTATCGACTGAAGACTGCTGATTGAACGTCTTCTGAGTGTGGTCTAACTCCTGAATTCCTAAATGTACTAATCGACTACTTCTCTTGTAGAACTCAGTTTACTTCACTCAATGGTGTACAGTCTTTTTCTATTAACATTGAAGTCGGTGGTTTTTAGGGTGCTATTTTGTCCCCTCTCTTGTTTTCTATGTATATGCGAAATCTCCCCATTCCCACCAACCTTACTGCTTGTAAATTGCCCAGCCCCATTTCAGACAATTTTCGACCCCTCCAGGACAGCCTCAATGACCTTCACGATTGGCCTGCGACCCGATCCCCTGTACTTAACATCATTAAGTGTATTGAAGTTTCATTCAGCCACAGAACCGGTCGCCGTTATATTTCACTAGTTATTAATCTCCCTGTTCTGAAAATTAACAATCAAAGCATTCCAAAATCTGTATCTGTTAAATACCTTGGTGTCACTCTTAACCATAACCTGTCCTGGTCTGCTCATATAATCAACGTTTTCACAAAAGTTCGAAAACTGTCTTTCTGTGCTTACAGGCTCAGGAAACTGGCCGTACCACATAATCTTATTCTTAAATTTGTGACTGCCTGCATTTTTCCACACTGGTTAAACTGCTCCCCGACTTTTATCTCTGGACTGAAAGAAAAAGACTTCTTTTTAAATTCGAGAACCCTTAAGCTTTTGTCCCGCTACAGAGGAGCTGACAGAGTTGTTTTAGTTGATTTATTTATTTCCAAGCATCTCGACGCTTATGATACATTCATTGACAGAATAACACGTGACCAAGGGCACTGCCTTCACCAAGATATCCCGAAAGCCCTGTCAAATCCCCGAACACGCTCCAAATATCAACTGCTTCCTGCGTGGACTTCCACATATCGAAACAGTGTAACTCAATATCTAGATCGTTTGCAAGTAAATCATCAGAATATTCTCACCCACCTCAGGGAAAAACCCTTGCCCTAATTTTGCTCCCATTCACTAAAGTGTAGAATTTCTGATTTCGTCTTTTTTGTTTGCAATTGTTTTACCCGTCCATTGTTAACATCGTAAACTGCTATAAATTCACTCTTTGGGTTCAAAGCGCTTTTCTTCACTTGGCTTGACTTGACTTATGGGTTGGCGGTTCAACTTCACACGTGATACCTTATTGCAAGATTATTCTGATAGGTTTGCCATTTTAAAGATCTTAATATCTCGAGTACAATTCCTAATTTTGCACTGCTATACTCGTAAACTATCAGGTGTCACTTCACTGATTGAGAACACAGCTTCATACCCACAACAATTTAGTACTTTTGATGTCGTCGGCCGTCAGATACAGTAAGTGTCAATGGTATTGGTTAGCTTTTCATTTAATTACATATGAGAACTACTTCAGGACAAGCTCTTCGGTAAGAGGTTTTCAGGACCAGAGAATCTGGGGGGGGGCTGATGGTGGTGCTAGCGAGCTTTTTCATGTTGCCATCCTTTCATTAGGAACGCCACCAATTTTGGTAATAAACACGCTGATAATCGTAAATAAGACATTTTGTTACCCATAAAAATCGAACTGATTTCACTGGCCACTCTATTTTTCATTCCCTTTTATGTTTTTATTTTGGTAAACAAAAAATAATAATGCAGGAATGAATCCAAACTATTAAAGACAACTGTACAGCCACTGTTTTCTCGACGAGCTTTCAAAACTACTTGTCTAACACAATAACAATATGAATAAATAAATCACAAACACGTCTGCACAACTTATCCATGATAATTTTGCCACATCTGTGATCGTGCATACCACAGTCAGTTGACTTACATAGTCAGCGAAATCAGGAACGGAGGACGAAAGCAAGATCGCCAGCAAAAACGGACGATAGAAAACTTGCAAAACGAAAAGAATTGGTACTAATCATCAAGACAAGGCTAATGCAACCGGACATTCACGTTGTTTTCATAAGTTACGTCGGTGATTGTGATTCTGCATTGCCAGATTGTAGTTATTTTTGGTGTTGTGTTGTAAACGCCGCGAATTGAACGAACGGGAGTGACAGGCAATCCTGAATCGGATTTTTTGTACAAATTGCGTTCGTTATTTCACTGACTGTAGAATAATCAAGACCGTTGAATGCATTTGTACATATTCGGCAAAATTACCCTGAGTACATTGCATAAACTCATGTTTCTGATGTATCTATTCAACTTTGTGGTGGGACAATAAAACCTTCAATTGCACAGCAAAGAATTAGATAATTATCAATTCAAGTCATTCAATATCAATTACACGGGTTTCAACGATATTTTTAGTGAGTTCTTCTCCTAGTTATTGAATTTTTATTTACCACAGATTTTATACATTTAGTTCACAAACCACTTTGAATGAAATCGAACGCTATAAAAGTGTGCCATTCAGCAAACATGTTAAGAAAAAAAGAAACAAATAACAGAGCATTGTACAACTAGTATTCGATACGATCACGCTGCATCCTAACTGGAGCCTATTACAGAGAATTACAGTGTTGATATGCGTTTGACGATTGGATTACATTAAAGTCAGGAGTAAATGTAAATAAGGAGGAAGTCACCAAGACAACGTCAACTTGATTCTTTCTGATGACATTTCCACAGACTAGTCGACATTGTCTGGATAATCTTGAGCATGATCGGTCGTGTAGTTAGCTTGAACGCTCCAAAATTCTGAAACAGTTACCCATCAGTGTGTGGAAACTTCTTTTAGGTAAACGGCTCTTTTCATCATTCTGTATTTGCTTTATTTAGTGATTCCCTTCCCCTTCTAATAACCTTCTTGATTCACTGTTGTGTAATCTAATCGCCATCTCTGTAAATAAACACCGTATCTATCTGCTGTAAACACTGGCTAGGATGCAACGAAATGGTTTGTAAATGCTTTCCCATTGATTGGTCTTTTCAAATTTATCACAAGAAAATTCTATGAAGTTTCTCTTAAAAACAAAGCAACAAATTAAATTACCTAGGTAGCTCAAAAGTGTAAAACACAAATATACATATGACAGTATCATACAGCAATATCCCAATAGATTGGGACCCTAACCTAAGACAGTTGTTTGTCAATTGTAAGACCTCGGGTGAGAGTTTCGACTTCTAACGCAGGATTTCCAGTTTTTAGTTCTGGAAAATGAACGAGCATCAGCAATACNTGATCGAGTTCTTTTGTCAAACAGCACAGCAGAAATTAGGTTGCGGTTAGGTGTTATGAGAAAGATACACCACTGGTAACTAAATAGGTTTGCATTGGCTAGAATCTCGAAATCCACGCTTTCTCTTTCAGAAATGCTATCAAAATTAGATGACCACGGAAAAAATTATCCGCCCCAAATAATATTTTATGTTATCTTTACAATAATAGTAATTTAGAATTAACCATCCTCGTGTTTTCAAACCAATTTCAATTACAATGATTAAATCAATTTTTGAACAGATACACAATTCTGAGTCTTGGAAAAGTAAAACATTGTTACTGTTGTCTTAGAAGCCTCGAAATTAGAGCGAATTCTGTTTTAAGTACAAGCGGTTCTGATTTCAACTTACCTTACCCATTCTGGCGTTAGAGATAAGCGCGCTAAGTCGAGGATCTCGTCGGGTATATTCCAACAGATGCGAATGAATATGTTCCAGTTGCCCCGGCAAATCTCCTCCGCCTTGACTAATAGCCAAAAGTGGATATGCTTTATGCGGAGCTTCCAATTTGTTGCTCGCCGAAATTTTGTCAGTCATTTGTTTCAAGAGTTCCCGAACTTCAGCGATGGTCATGTGACGCGTTTGATCAATGCACTGTTGTGTTAAAATTTTATGTCTACGGAAGTGACTACATCAATAATAATAAATAATCAACAGACAGAATTTATAAATAATAATCACACAAACTTAATGACTAAACCTGCGATATCAAAGGTAAACAAATTTAGAAATTATGGGAAGAGCGGCATATTTGCACGGCAATTCAAAAGAGCTTGACGGAGGATTATAGCTTAATTCTTAAAAATCTATCGAAGGATTTCGTGGTTAATAAAATCACATGCCAAATGTTAGGACAAATGATGATCTATGATATTTCACGCACCTTACAAAACCTTTTTAAGAACTTAGGGATAAGTTTCCATTGTATAACCAAGTATTTTACTGTGTCCCTAAAGGCTACTCTGAGTGAATTACGATGCGTATTACAACCAACTACCAATTTCAAGCATTTTTTCATTTCCGGGATTTTTCTACTTACTTTATTTGAAGCAAACAATTGAACAACTTATTATAAATTCTGAATATGTGAAAATTCAATACCCAGGCTTATACACAAACATCTACACACTTGGTAAGCATCAAATTTCGTGTTATACCTTGAGGTTATTTTTACTTTGTTTGGTTCAAAGGTTTCTGTGTAGTTTAAGACACAATTGAATGAACTTTGGTTTGTTATGGGGAAACAATTCACGATCAGTTGGCTAGTATTGTGCTCCCCGTTCGGTCTATATCCCGTGGTCAGTAGAGAACACACTTGTCTTGAGCACTTACGTAAACATGTGCAGTTTATTACTACCGGATAGTCAATAACAATGTATTTGTGTAGAAGTCGAACGAGATTCAAAACCGTTCTATGAGATGAATACCGTTAAGTGAGTTGCGGATTACAGAAGACTATCAATGAGTTTTCAACAGACGTCCTTGTTTGTACCCGCGCAGACGTTATACACTGACTAAGTCACATATTTCCCAAGCTACACGACTAAATAGACCATTTTATTCTACCGTCGGTTACTAATTTTAACGTTTTGTGAAAAATTAAGCGCGACAAACGCTGAAATCCATCTTGACTTACTATAGCCAGCATAACTGACTGAGGACAAGAAGAATCGTCCACTAGTTCTGTGCATTTAAGGTGCATCACAGAACGAAATGAAATACTACATAGAAACCGTTTCATTTCCTTATCAACAATTGCCATGGATGTCTTCCATCGTATGATTTTCAAACCAAAATCATCATTGTTTGTGAATACACTGCATTCTGTTTCACTGAAGCACTTTGTGTTCCTTCATCCTTCTCAGAAACATGTTTACTGCGTGAGAGACAAGCACATATAACAAACACGTTCTAGTCAGAAACTAACTTATCTTGTAACGCCGTGTCACGTGGGATTGAACAGCCTTGAAGGCAGTGTAAAGCTGCTTCATTCGTGTGAGGAATTTTCCGCAGAGCACATCCGTCGCGTTTGTGACAGCTCAAACACAGACGTGCACAAATTTGACTCCCATACGTTACTATCCCTTGTGTTAAAAAAAATTTGGGCTTCATAAAAATCGTTTGTTATTACTATTCATGGCAACAAAGCAACTTTGCAGATAAATCAACACAAATATGACAGTCGTGCATTTTAATAAAACTTGGGGCTTGTTACATTACTAGCATTGTTGCCTTTGATCTATATTTAATGATGGCTATTCATACATCATTAAAAGCAACCGAGACTATATTCATTCTTTTTAATTTGAAACCAGCACTCACTTGACTAAGCTGAGTTGCAATCATGCTGAGCTGCTGAGGTGTGACAGAATTGTCCACGTGACTGGGTACACTTGGTTGATATATTGGTGGAACTACCGCAACTGGATTAAAATACGATCCGTAGATATTGGTGGAGTTTGGTGTGCGCACATCCCAATTCAAGCCTGGCACCTGACCCCACAGGTTTATCTGCGTTCCCGAATGATTTGTTGCCGCAAAACCCTGATCGGCATTGCCTAAAAGAATCAAAATAGAGTGCACAAAAAAAAGATGATTAAACTTCACTTGCAGCCGTATACCATGCCACCGTGAAAATAATTGTTATGTTGCATTCTATCCAGTTGTAGAAACATGTATAAGCAACGATGTTTACAATTTCGTCTGAAAATGTTTAACGTTATATTGAGGAATAAAACCTTTTCATATGCGATGGAAATGTTTGTGATAACCAACAAAGAGCAATGGACAGCTGTTTTGTCCTGTTTTGGTCTCGTCAGCAGTGCGTGCTTTTGTGTCCCTGTCAGGACTCGAACCGCGATCAGTCGGGTCGGGACTTCAAACCCTTACCCGAAAATCACTCGACCGATTTGGTTCGTTTATCGATCGGATTAGTTGGGCCAGCACCAGGCCCGCTGTTGCGGCTGAAGCATCCGACCGGTCGATAAATGAACCCAATCGGTCGTATGGTTTTTGGGTGAGGGTTTGAAATCCCGACCCAACTGATCGCGGTTCGAGTCTTGACAGGGACACAAAAAGTACACCCTGATGACGAGTCCCAAACAGGACGAATCAGCTGTCCAGTGCTCCTTGTTGGTTATCACAAACAGTTCCATCGCAATTGAATGTATTGTATCGTGGGGAATTAACGATCTACCAAGGAGTGAAACCCACACCAAAGACCATCAAAAATGCCTGGTGCCTCTGAGCAATCGAATGGGGTAATCCAAGCTTGGTACTCTAAAAAACCTTTTAATGTTTGAAAACGAATAACTAAGGTCAATCGTATACCTTGTATGTAGTCATTTTGGTAGTTGGAATCGATGCCAAAAAGAATACTGTTTAATTAAGATATTTTAAAGCACTAATGAGGTTGGTTGTGGAGCGAAAGCTGTGAGTAAATAGAAAACAATATTAACAACAACGTTGCTAACAAGCTCGTTTTCATTTATTCGTAACTACGAATTTGCATAACACTAAATATAACTAATCACAAGAACCAAATAGGGAATGGTAAGTTCGAGTCCTAGTAGTTCATTTCAGGCTCCAACTGGGTGTGCGTGTGCTTGTGAGAAATCGAACACAAAAGTTCAATCGATGTTAAAAGTTCAAGTGATTGTACACATCTTGTTCACAAATGTGTCAATTAGTGAAACTATCAGTCACGTGTGGATTTATTCAAGAGAACAACATCGATATGGACATTTCACTAGATGAACTGAAACAAGTGTTATTCCTCTACACGCTCAACGTCCAGTTTGGATTCAGTGATGAATTGTATCGCCAGAAGGATCTGTTTAAAATGGAGTCACCTTTAGGATCATTATTCGTTGACACATTTATGGCCAAACTTGAGAACGATCCCCTTGATTCCCATATCAGAAATGATCCCATACAGACGATTCGTTGACGATGTATTATGTATAGTAGTTGCAAATGTGGACATTACTCGATAGCTTGGGGATTTCAGCTATGCCCATACGAACGTAAACTTTACTCTAGAAAAAAGAAAATGACAAAAGTCTAGCGTTTCTAGGCAGAGATAACTCCGCCCAGTTATCGGTGCTTAAGTATGCAACGTGGAATGGACAGTTTGTGCGTTCCCGTAGTTTTATCTCTGCTTAGAGAAAGATGAATTTCTTTCTTTCTTTGGTTCAAAGAGTGAAGAATATGCACGGCGGACACCATAGACAGAGAGCTTCACTTCTTACGCATTAGTTTTGCCCAGAATGGCTACCCTGAACGATTCATTGATAAAGAAGTGCTAGAACACGAGTCGGTTGGAAACTTTCACAATCTGGCTGTTTGTTAATTCAGAGTAATTAGTTTGAAACTTTTTATTTATCAACACTGTAAACTCCCTGGTTACGTAATCACTAATCTGATCCAGCCGTTTCGTGACCATTATGACACAGAGCTAGGAAATGAGATAATCGCACTGCTCCATGGTACTATAGTGTGTTGTGCTATGGTGTAAATGGAAAATGAAAAACGGTCTCATCAATTACCCGGTGCCCGAATGGGTAGCATGCTCGCGTTCCACCTGTGGGGTTCCGGACTTGATCCCCAGTTGGGTCGATGGATTCACACTGCTGATGAGACCCATCCAGGTAAAAACAGATAAACAGTGCGTCCTAGCTTTTCAGTTCACGTTTCATTTGCTCTATACACGATGAATTTCCCTTTGGAATTGAATCAGTTACGAAGTTTGCCTATGTGCATCTGCCGTTCAAGAAAGACACTGAGGTGGAAATCGTTCAAAGAAATTGATCAGGTTCCGTAAGCAGACCACTTCACACTGCAGAGTTAAGAGCTGTGTTCATGCATAAACCGATGGTGGTTCCGACTGAAAGACAGTCCCAAATTCAGCAGCCTCATGCTGTGTATATTCATTAACCTGTGGGACTGGGTACATCAGCCGCATGACCAGGCGCTTATCCGATCGTGTTCGCGACCACTCGGCTTGTCTGTGGGCATAAACAATTAAGACAATTACTAGCACAGTGTGCGCGTCTCGCTGAGTCAAAGCACTCGGTGGATGTGGTAAGCACGTTCCAACCGATTTATACTGTTCGATGTAGGCAATCAAAACCAGTGAAGCAACGTATCTTAGCCCCGGCCGAAGGCGGATTCACAACCCCTCCCCCTTGTGCACCCAGAAGAACTTTGTGCAAGCACTGAATCTCCCCCAGCCCACTTCATTCACCCCAATCAGTTGAACTTTTGACACCGTGGTCGATTTCACACAAATATACACACTTGCATTTGGAGTCAGAGTTGAACCGTTAGGATGCGAAATTCTCATTCTCTATTTGGTTCTTGTTGTTAGTCCCATTTAATGTTACATAAAGTCATGGTTACAAGTAACTAAAAAAGAGCTTATTCGCCACGCTGTTGCTCTCAATGTTTTCTGTGGGACTATTCAAACGGTAGAAAAAATAATGGAATGGCTAGAACCATGAAGAACCCTGAAGGCAAAACGATTGACTAAAATTGCTGCCAACAATATATTGATGTTTGGTGTGACTACAATACAAATACCCAAACACAAGATTTCGATGATGGCATTTGAAACCTAAAAGGTCTTTGTTACATCAATCGAATAGGTCTTTTAAAGCATCTGCTTTTGATAATAGTAACAGCCAAATAAAGGTGTAACCAGTTTATTCTAATCAGATCCTGATAAAGTTATAGCTTTAGTTACCCAAAATGAAGAAGTCAGCAACCAGAGTATTAAGTAATTAATTAAGTAATTAAAGTAATTAAAGTAATTAATGAAGCCGGATAGAACTGATTTATGTGAGCAGTCTGTGGGTTTTGAAATAGGAGGCGTTGGTGGATGAACCGCATACGGGGACACTGATACCGGGACACAAAGGAATGAGATGATTGTGCTGGGCTAGGTAGAGCCCGAAGCTTTTAGACAGAACTTAGGACGAGACTTGTGAGTGGAAACAATGAAGAAGCGTTCTTGGAATTGTGAATTGAAAACGTATCAACGGAATTAATTATGAGAGATGTGAATGTACCGGGTTCAGTGCCATTTTAAAAAGAGATGAATACAGGTCATCCTGAACTGTTTACTCAGCAGATTATACGGCTTTTATATTTCTAAAGAGATCGAAACCTCCTCCTTTATAAAAGCCACGCTATGCTTTTGATTTTCAATGTCTAAGAAATCTTTAAAACCTTTCGTCTTTTTAACTTTGCATTGAGATTACCAATAAATACGATTGATTTTTAATCACTAAATGGTTTCTCATCGATTTACAATACTTTTGAACCTCTTTGATAAACTTATCCCATATTCACATATACTTATCCTTATCTATGCTGAAGACTAAACATACATTGACCGCACAATGAAAGCCAATCGGTACCGACTCCACGAAAACTTCTTTCGTTTAAAGATATCCGAAAAATATAGAAAAAATGATTCGACATATGATCTCGAGTAATCTGAAAAAAATTAAATGCAAAACAGCTATCGACTGAACGTTCAATCTGAATTTGGAGAGCATCAATGAAATCTAGGTGACTTCAAACGTCGTCTTCACACTAAATCCTCAGTTCATTCAGTAAACCACACGGGATTTGATCTTCGGACTCATCGCCTGGAAGGCATGTGTGTTATCACTGTAAAATCCAGCTCATATCTGGGCCGAACCGAATCGCTAGTTTATGCTTGCTCAGTTGTCGTTTTCAATGATAGTCAGTCAAATCAATATCAATTATCCCACACCGCCACTCACAAGCGAATTAAACCCAAAACCGATGTCCTTGCAAACCTGTGCCGTTCCACGATCAATGGTAACCGCTGTTTTGCTATTCGACATCTATCATCTGCAGAATGTGAAACTACTACTCGCCCCTGACTCGTAATCATATAATATAAACACACACACCACATCCAAAACAATTATCTTGCAATTCATTGAACACTGCTTGGAAATTATCTCCCAGGAGGATCTCAAAGTTTGCACAAAAGTCATGTTCAGTTCTTGTCACTCTTGACGAATACAAGCATTGCATAAGATGTAATCCTACGCCCACAGCATCCACCTTTATCAAGCCATTTGCTCCAATTCTGAATCAGCTGCTGTAAAATCACGTGAAAACAATGTGAGTTTTGCATAATAAGTAGTATGTGAATGAATGAACGAAATTTCTCTGGAAGCACACGACCGTTTTCGCGGTTTTTGCCGCTCGTCAGGCATACGTATCCGGTAATATTTTATGAATGAACCGACAAAAGATTACCTAACTCACTCACAAAAAAATCGAATCATAGCATTGATTTTTCAATGGACTAGCTCTGAAAGGGCTGTCTATCCAAACGTCACCCGGTGATGCAAACAATGTGATTTTATCCAAAAATGTCATTGTTTAACAACTCTTATCATATAGGAATACATATAGGCATGTGCATACATAACTCAGAAAGTGGGCAGAGAAAAATCAAAGCAATATCACTGGATTACATGAACTGTTTATCGAAACTCACTAGAGTAATTTGCTTCTTAAATAACTCAACCAATAGAAACTAGGGTTGACAACATATATCACACTTTTAAACAGTACTTACGACGTAGGAAGTTATCCATTGATTCATCTAATGGCTGTGTTTCATGCTGCAACCGAGGGTATTCATTTAAGCTATCATCACTGCGAATAAAAATTTACCCGATGCACGATAGCACCATGCTGTGTTTCATATCTGTCGTAATCCATGTCCGATCCCGTGGATTCTTCCTCATATCGTTGGTCGTTTTCAGAATCACTTTCGTTCAAGTCGGAAACCATGAACTGCTTGGTGACTACATGACTTTCAACCTGGGTCACACTGCATGTGGAATCAGTAAGTGTACAAAGTGAAAGCTTACTTATGTACAGCCATAGCTTTCACTACCCTCCTTCCAGATCGAAGGGCGAATGGGGCTTTGTATGAAAACGTCTTTTCCCGGCCATTCACTTTTTTTCGCCAAGGATTTGGATTCGATCCGTCCGTTGTGAAAAATATCCGGGAGTTGGGTGTTTCTGAGAGAAAATAATTCATAAGATTAAACGAAAATTATTTAATCGATAAACTTTGCTACTAAGAAATAGTTACGTGAAGCAAAAGAAAATAATTATGGTCACCTTTGGTAAAACTATGGGATAATGTAAATCAACCCGTGTAACCCGTTTGTCCTTCATGATAAGAGTCAGAATAATGTTTAATATTCGCATGCAGCAAACTCTACCAATAGATTACGAAATAATACAAATTCAACAGTTTCAGAAATATTGATGTAATAAAAATTTGCCAGTGGTAATAACACTTCCCTAGTCTGAAAAACACTAACATCAACCTAAAACCTTCAAACCAAGATTGGTCCAACCCCAAAGCCCTAACACTGACTCTTATCCCTGACCTATGGCCTTTAAACTCTACTCATAATGTCAAAGTCCAAAATCCTAAAATTTTATAAACTACTATGCATGCATGAGAGAAAGCTAAATTGTTTTCATCATTTACGGGGATCCGACTTTTTGTTCTCTTGCAATAGTCTCAGGGGAAGTGGAAGTTCTGAAATTACCGACACCCTACTCATGAGTACAAAATAAAGAATTATGAAAATATGCCATGAGTAACTTTAAATGGGCTACAGGAGTGCTTCATTCGTCATCTAAAATTAAAACACTTCAATCCTCTCTGGCATCAATTCAACCAGTAGATCAAAATTGTATGCTGCGTTCCAGGAAGGAGAACAAAAGCGTATCCAATAACTGTTGAACGAAATCATTCAGTGTAGTCTTGTGATAAAATGCAATGAAACGTTTCCCGAAAACTCTAAGCAACAAAACAGCAGTGGTTTATATGATTAATTTCGTCATTCACAGATCAAATAAATCGTGAAAATAAAAGCTATGAAGTAGGGCACAGCTGTTTCGACCTAGGTGAATCTCAGCAATAGTGCGAATCCGTTGACAAAAACAGGTAGAGGGGTTAGAGGGGTTCTTGATATTTTATTTCACACTTCATTTGTTCTATACACAACAAAATTTGCCGTATGTACAATCTAAACTTCCCACAATTAGTTACATTCTGAAGGTTGAGTCAGTTATTCATTCACATATAGATTGGGAGAAATCCCCATTAAGAGGCTCAGTTGCAAGTAGATCAACTCATATTATGAATTAATTTGAGAAACACCTCGTTCAATTTTGAGTTCCTAATTTGTAAAGCATTAGACTTGGAAGACCAGAATCCAGGCTTTGACACAATAAAATACTGTACTCTAAAACTTTTTCAAGAGGAATTGCTCATAAGATACATGTTTAATAGCAGTGATAATCTGCTGCAGTCATGAAGTGAGTGAATCGAGTTTCAATGATTAAAAGCCTTCTACTCATTAAGGTGACATATTATCAAATAAACTATCCATTAGATCATGATCGTTAGCTCCAGAACGCCATCCAAAGTGCGGCAAACATTATTTTGCTAAGATACAACACACTTGAAAGGGCTTATGGTGTTTCCAAGTAGCCATACTGGTTATCGCAAGAGGAGGCTTCCAAACATAATCTAAAGGATATAAAACAGAGACAATCAACGAGAGGAACACTTATCAAAGCATTCACTAACGGTGGTTAAAGTGTAACTTCAACTGAAGATGCTGATTTCAAAAGAATGTATCAATAAATAGTTTTTATAATATATATGTATCATATAATGTTCCTTTGTCATTAATAAATTTCAGCCAATCTATAAAAATTATGCAAACAAACGAATACTATCCACAAGTATTTATTCACAACTGTAGAGCATGAACTCCTTCCCAACAATCTTGCCTCGAAAACCATCATTTACACAAACATCACCTTATTTGATAAAATCTCTTTATTGAGCGCTGAAAAGACCAGGAAGTGTTTCCCGAGGCTTGTTATTGTTCTCTCAATCTAAGAAGGAGATATTTGTTTGGATGACTGGAAAGATTTTGGGCATTCTCAGTGTGTAGAGGGGTCAACGAAATCGAAAGCTTTGTGCAAACAACTTTATCACTTGATAGATGTCCAACCTGTGCAAAAACGAAACCGATTCCAAAATGGCCCACTTAAGTTGAACAGATGCAAACAACTCACTATCCCAACAGAACAAATGCGTGATGCCTCAAGTGGAAGTGGAACTCTTGGTTTGACCAGTTTGGAGACCGGATCAAAATCAAATTTTTCATGTCTTACTGTTCTTCAATATTTACTTTTCTACTGCAGTTGTTAATAAACCGGTCTGTTGATGAAAAGTTAGAATTTCAGTTTTATTTCAATACAATAAAATAGTAGTGGTTAACAACATTCGCAGTCCCGTTGTCAAGACAACCAGCCAAGCTTACTAGTTGATATGACAATATTCGCGTTGCTATGCGCATACGCATTACCGCTACCTCTAAGCCAATCAGTGAGGGCTAACCAAACAAATTCAAGTTGTTTGTATTAGGAAATTTCTCAAGGAAAAGTTGTTGAGGTAATCACCAAAATTGTATGCGCACATTCTTGTTAAAGTAAATAGATTTTGCTTGAATTTGACCCGCGTATCACCCGTTTTTTGTGTCTCCTAACAGTGTTCATTAATTACCATATTGTTTCACAAGTTCAAGGTAAAGAGACATAGTCATCCAACCGGCTGTGAGATTAAGAGGAGCAACCTGTTCCGTGTTAATCATACTGTCACCACATCTCGTCTTCACTTTAATCTGAATTTTCCAGAACGAAGAGCTATCTAAATTGTCGCTTTTGCCGTAACCATGGTTCCATTCTGTTTGTGCCCTCATCTTTTCCAGTGATGCAATTATCAGGTCAATTTTGCTTGTATTGATTGTCATTAAAATCTTCTACGATGTGTATATCATCACTGAAGGTGTTGAATGTTTGTAAGCCAGAGTTTTCTTGAGCATAGTACTCTCAGTAGAACTTAAATTTGGTTTATTTATCGGGTGAGATGATGTATTGTGCTAATAGAAACGATGCAGCTACAACATTGACGTTTGTTACCTAGTCCAGCGTAAATAAATGATAATGATGTGTATGAGAAACGCATTTCTCATGCGTATCTCTTATTAACGCAAATAGTTGATCATGAGAAAATACATGTTCAATAGGGAGCGCTGTGGTGGTGAACTTACCGCATTTGAGCTCAATATAAGTTGCTGTATCAATAGTGGCATTGGAAGTTCCGTCCGTGTATTGTTTCAGAGGAATAATCTTCGGTGCAGTGATTCCACCGGTCACGGGCATCCTTGGTTCCGCTTTTTATCACTAAGAAGGACAGCAAAAGTAGTTGAGTACTGGAAGTAGTCCAATATGCAACCGTTTGATTGACGGATCAAAATGATGAACTAAATATCCGTGCAAGAAATGAATAATATAGATTCCATATAATCTCTAGGCGGTGGTTTATCTAAAACATGACTTTCAAAGAATGCTGAAAAATGTGTGAACAAACTATTTGCTGTAGTAATTACAGCGCAATTCAGTTGATTACTTAGCATTTACTGTTTAGTTTGCTACATTCACTCATACTTTATTATTTGACGGGCCGTATCATTTTAAGATGTCATTGTCCGGTATATTTTCATAAGTTAACCATGACATGCAAAATCTGGATACTTAAGATTTAAACTTTAGTGCGTAATATCTATATCCCTATCCGGCCAAACCATGACAATAAAAATTAGCGATCAGGATGAGTAACTCACAAAAAGCTTACAAATGCGATCTGCTCTGTAAGAAGCCTAAGTTTACTTTATCGTGTCAAGTATACTTTTCAATATAATAAGTGATTCGATCATGACCTGTCTGTGAGATACCTTTAACAGTTTACCTCAGGGTCACTATGTGTTCATTGCTGATGATGAAAAACAAGGTTAATCCAGGTGGGAAGTGGTTAACAGCCTTTTGTCTTGCAGAAAATGACAAATGGCAAAGAATAATCAGGGCCCATCATGCTTCCGGATATCTCACCTTGAGAACTCCTTTTCAAAGATGCTACATAATTAACGTTGCAATCACGATTAAAGGGCATTTCAAGCAAAACATTTATTTGAACCGCAATTGAAATTGGTTTGTTTATTTCATTTCAAACTCAATGGGAAAAATGAATTCACTGTCACCATGTAGAATGTGAGCGACTAGAGTCGAGAAGGTTTTGTGTTTAACACATATTCTAGCTAGTTCACGGTAGCATCTCGGATTAGCTCATTCGATTGTTGAGAGATATCAGGCACTCTTGGGACAGGGACAAAAAAGTAAGTACTGCTGACGAGTCCCAAACAGAACGAAACAGCTGTCCAGTGCTCTTTATCAGTTAGCACAAACATTTACATTGCATGTTCTAGCTATGTTATGATTGTCTTTCTTAAGAGCATCATCTAATTAGGTGTCCACAAATTAGGTATTTCCTGTCAACCTTTTCCTTAAGTTTGATCAATGTATTCATTTCTTTGACCCCTATATATTTATATCACATTTCAGCATTTATGCAAGTATTTTCTGCAATGAGTCAGACAATTATAGAATTCCCTTGTAGCAATCGTTTTGACATACCCAGAATCAACTGTTTGCACGTTGTTAGTTCTGTTAGTAGTTTTCAGTATGCTCTCCCTAAGAAAGGGTGGATAATTTAGAAAAAACTGTTTATCTGTTGGATCCCACACAAGTAGCCCCACGATCATTGTGTAGCTCAATCACGCTGAAAACAGTGAGTTGCACAAATATGCTTTGTCTCGCGAACTCCGTAGAGTACCCTCTATAGTTTTATCGCTACAGCGTAAATCACAACAATAAGTCATAACCGAAGTGCTTAACACAATCAGCCGATTTACACAAGATAAAACAGTGGCACATCTACCGAGTCCTGAAACAGTTCATGAGGAAAAATGCTCGCAGGATGTTGTAGTGTTCATAAAGACAAAGTGAAATAGGCTTTCTGAATGTGAAGTGAATAAGCAGTGCTTGTAAAATAATGCTTCTACGGTGACGTTGGTGCTGCTTGTGGCTATAAACCTAGCAGAAAATGAAACGCCAAAGCTAACCACCAATATTACCGTGATCGCCTATTCACGTTGTTTGCATAAAATGAGTTTCTGATGTTGAACAAAAAATCCTCGGCATATTGCTGTAATTGTGTTGTTTTGCATTATGAATGACCCTGAATGAGTGCGTTGAAGTGGCAGAGTGTTTTGCTTTCATACAAGTATTGCGTGGTAGAAGATTTCAATCTTTTCAGTCCAAAAAATATGATGTAACGGTTTCAAATGTGACATTTATATCTTTATTAAACCTCGCCAGCATGTTTTCAGAATGATACACTCGAGAATCTCGAGAATGATAAGAAATTTCCTATTCCTATTTATAATTAATTTGTACCATACATATAAATATTTCTTTTGTTACAATTCTCCTTTTGATCAAGAGTCTTTCTAGTATTCGGAGGTCTGATTCATGAGTGTGATTTAGGAAAAAATAAGAAACTGGATGAATACATGCACAACCACTGAACTTTTTATTGTTTTAGCAACGTTTTATAGTAGCATGCACCTAACTGTTCAAATTTTGGCCTTCGCTTGTTGGCGAATATCTTATGGACGTTGGTTACGGATAAATTAAAGTTCCCTGTGTCCACTTGGCTTTCTACTTGGGAAATTGTGCGTCCTACGTTCTCGCAGCAGCCTTCAGTCTTTAGTCTTGAGAGGAGAGAGCGGGATAACCAATGTAAGCGTCTTCACCACTGGGTTGAAGTTCCTATTTCTTGTGATTACCCCTCCATGGCCCTCTGGGGTGCTCCAACCCACCCCACTTGGAAGCAGCATCGGTCGGCTCCTCCATTACGGTCACTGAAAGGGAGTTTCAGATCTTTTTTAAACCTCAAAGTTGGTAGACTAACGGAAGACCAACCCATTGAAGTTTCCTCTACGTAAAAGAGTGACCTCGAGTCCGTCCCTCTGCCCGTAGTGGCAAGTGCTGCTGCAACTCCGGACCCATATCACCACTCAGGATCTTCCTTAGGCAGGTAAGATCCCCTGAAGCTCCAATACATAACTGTGATTGGACGAGTAGATTTTGGACTACATTCTCAGCTTATCCCACTTAGTCCAACAACTATCCTGGTGGCAGCACATTGTACATGCCCCGACTTAGTCAGTTCCCCGACCGTGAACGGGTATGTTGCAGGACTACTATATGCAAGTCTCGGCCTAGCGTGGCAAGTGTACAACATTCAGAAGGCGTTCGTCGTAAGTAAACCAAATGATCACAGAATGGATCCCATAATGCTCCATTCAATGGTGCATACCTTATTGGTGTCCTCTCGGGCCTACATTGATGACGGTACCATGACTCTCAGGTCTCTTTCGCACGATAGACTGCCTATTGTAGTTCCTTGAAAGCAGTAAACCATTTTTGAATCAACGCGCCTGAGATGCAAGTAATTACACATAGCAGTAGTGAATTGAAGGGCCAAGGTGTACGCCCAATGAGCGGGAGTGTCTGGGTCTTCTTGTAGAGTTCTCCGACCATCTGGACTCTCGTTTGTAAGTCAGTTCTTGATATTATCCTCATATCTAAATGATGGGTTGCATATTTGACCGGAAAAGTCATTGGCATGACCCACGAACGATCCAAACGATCTAAAACCACAGCCTTTGTAAACCATATTGGAGACGAGATATCACTTAGATCGCTAACTGGCAACACGGACGCAGAATTCTCTGTAGATAAGGATGTCTTGGAGCCATTTCAGCATAGTCTCATCTACACCGTGCAAAATGATGCAAAAGGGGCACTTCACCAACTTCCCCAGTAATTATGCAGTCTACAGACAGGATAGACAAGACGACATACAAGGAAGTAGAGTATTAACATTGTTTAAAACTAATATGAGCCACTGCAATACACAATCCAACCTATTCATACCAAATATCTAGATAATAGCATGCAACCTGCTCCCAAACGGTCACTAGGTATATTTCTGTGCACAGAGCACCATATATTGCCTTTTAGTGTGAAAAGTGAATTATTTGAAGTCATGCAAGCGTTCCTTTTGTAGTCCCAGAGGGTCTCAATAGTTAGAAACCAACGTCTCTGAGATCGACTGAATGCGACCGGCGGGTGTACATGGGTAACTCTCCTTGAATATATAAACTTCATGAGTTGAAAAAACACGTAAGGCAGACTACAAGATCCAGTAATCAACAGAGGCCCTTCATCTCGGACTCAGTTATAACAAATTACGTGTCCGACATAAACGAAGTAAAAGTAAAAGAAGCACTGGGTAAAACTGATCACCAGGAAAAGCACCGAAAGCCGGAAGTTTCATTCGTACGATGTAATGGTCGTATAAATGAAATTGTTTTGAAAGGAGCAGTGGAGTAGATCATTTGGGTACCAGAATCTCCGGAGCCCACGGTGAAAGAGAGATAGAATAAGATGCATGTAGGTATATGTCGACTAATACATGATCTTGTGCTGTCACGCCTCACCACAGGTTGGTGTGGTGGAAGACAAAGCTAGATGGGGCACTGGTCGTAAGCAAGAGATGTTAGGAAAACTATAGAAAGTATGGCAAGCATCTGACATGTTGCCAGAGAGAGGGGAAATATATTTAAGGAAAGAAGTTAGCTCAGAACATCAAGCGGACAAAGATATAATAGAAAGTGTGGATCTCTTGGAGATGAGTAGATGCACCATAGCTACATCAAACCAAGACAAAGCAAACACCTTTTTAGCCTTCTTTTTAAACATATATCGACAGCCGGTGCAAAGGTATGCTGCAGAGTCAATTTCACCACAGTTATATTTACCAACTATTAAAGAAATATTAATCAGCGAGGAAAATGTAGCCATAGATAATCATCATCATCGTACAGCGTAATACACGGAAGTGAACTTCACTGCTCGCTGCCAAACTCGCATTGCATTTGCATTGGGGTTTGATGGAAGGGTACTGCTAGGGTATCCAGCTACTAAGCAGGAGAAAGATTAGGGTTCTTAACCAAAGTATTTAGTTCTAACAAGAACCTGACCGCAAGGCAGCAATTGAAGCGAAGTGAAGGCCCATTTACTTGGATTGATTACTCCCCCCAACATTTTTACCGACTGAAATGCAAATTCCAGTCCGACCCCCAACCTGGAGGACCAGGAGACTGGACTTCGTCCGACCTCTACCCTTTGACCTTCCAGGCATGATTAGATCTTCGGCTTGACAAAAGCTATCCGGTGTAGCTCGTTGAGTCAAAGAG